AGACCATCCTGCATATCAGATATTTACATTACGATTCATAACAGTAGCAACATTACAGTTATGAAGTAGCAACGAAAATAATTTTATGGTTGGGTCACAACATGAGGAACTGTATTTAAAGGGCCAGAAGGTTGAGAACCACTGAAGCAGAGTCCCATTGGGAGTGAGTGCCAGGAAGGGAGGGAGAGCAGACAATAGCCAGGTCAGGACTGTCTCCTGGGAAGGCACCATTCATTCACTTTCCTGTGCTCTCAGATGCAGGCCTCAGGCTCAGTTATCTCCATGGTCCCATCCAACCTAACATTTCATGATGTTCTATCCAAATTTCAAGGTGAAACTTAGTTGGAAAATAGGATTCAGTAACTTTGCTCTATAGACTAATTTTCACAAACCTCTGTCTTCAAATTATTTAAATTCTCCTTCCCTTAAAACCAGGACTTTAACAACAATAAGGAAGGTTCTAAGGATGACACTCAAATATTGATATTTTATAAAAGCAAATATATAAATAAGTATACAACATGAGCTTCCAACATCTGAAGTGCTCTTAAACATAACACAATATTTCTATAGCTGTACCTGCAAGTTCCCATTATTATGTAAATGCTATATAATTTTTACTCTAACATAACCCACTTATAGCATATGTACTGGTAAGCTATCTTTCAAAGTATGGTATTTTACTAATTTCACATAAAAGCCCAAATCAATTTCAATATATAGCCGCGTAGTGGTCAGTTATCACCTTTAAGACCTCTGTCCCAAACCTTTGTTTCACATCTCTGCCTCGTTGCCTCTTCCAGTAGAATGCATATCAGTCCTTCATACTTATCAGAGAGGATTATAAGAACTTTTAATTTTCATCTCCAGACTGGAAATAAGAACAAAAGCACATTCACAGTGTTTTCTGAAATTCATCTCTCATTTGTTTCCACTTGTAAAAGACTTAAAATGACGAATTACTCTAATGTTTAGCTCCTCCTTCTTCATTTGGTTTATTTTCAGTCTGAGAGAGCCCCTGGTTTGGATAAAGATCTCGAATTTCAAATATTGGTTTTATCATTGCTCAGTGTTCCTCTTTACTTAAAAATCACTTTATGGACAAATTCTTCACGGGCACATAGGTAGGCACTAGAGGACTTGCTCAGTTCCTTAATAAGTAAGTCCATGTAATATATTTAGCCATAGCCAAGAGTTCAATGGTTAATTCTAGATATTGAACGCAGGCTCCAGTACATAGATTTTGATCACAGCATATGCCCTGAAACAAATACCACACACAGTAAAATCCCAATCAAACATGGTTTCCTTGTCTAGCACTGCAAGGGTGAAGGAACAGACCTCCCTATTCTGGAATAATTTGTTCAAGGAGACCTGTGCACCTGCATGATGATGTTAGAGTAGCTCACTTAGTGGTTTTTTAAAAAGTCTTATCATCAGGGAAAGGTTCACTTCATTCCCCTTGATGTGGTGGTCTGAGGTTTACAGGCTCCTGAACATAAGATTTGAGACAATCTTGAAAAAAATTACAATCATTTCCAAAGTGCAGACGAGTTTTGATATGCTTCAGTTGCCAAGGAATTTATGAAAACCCATACTTCAGACTTTTCGTTTTTAGATCAATCTCTAGTGTTTGAGGCAAGCTGATTTATTTTAACAGAAAAAAAAACATTGCATAGTGATCTAAATCACTTGATTTATCACTTTGCCTTAAGAATGACTACTTTGCTGTGGACGAGATATAACTTTTAAGTGTAATAAATTTCAATATTGCTTAGATGCATTATATCATTGTATTGTAAATTTGAAATAATATATTTTAATCAAACTTAAAAGTCAACATTAGCATAAAGCAACACTTAATTAGCCTGCAGTATCCAATGAGAGCTGGGTCCTGTTGGTTACCAGCTGGTAAAGGCACAGTTTGTAACTGGCTCACTGCAGACTCGGCTCAAGTCTCCACTGGCTCTGGATAGTCAGTTATTTCTGTCCAAGCCTCAGATGACTTTTTTAAACTCCAAGTCTTTGGAAAAACAAATATAATTATTTGGAAAGAGTAAAAGTAATTAATATTAATGTCTGTATATAGGTTGATTGAAACCAATTAACCCAAGAAGGGAAGGGATGTTGTTAAACCCCTTTCTTGCTTAAAAGATAAGTAAATTTTTGCCATTTGTAGCTAAAGATTTCTTTTGACAGTTTTCACTAAAGACTCCCCACCCCACAAAAAAAAAGCCTTTAAAAGGTTAAAAATTTTTCAGACTTAGCTATCTCTAAATTCTTTTCTATTGTTACAAGGTAAATACAAAATGTTCACATGTATACTACAGAAAATTTAAATATTTTTAATTTATCTGTTCCTGCAATTATTTGCACTGTCTTCTCTAATTGAAGAGTTGCAATAAATAAATAAATAAATAAATAATAAAAAAGGAACTATGGTGGCTCAACAATGCAGCTCAGCTCAGTCTAATAGCCTGCTCTTAGCAGATATATTCATCCACCAAGGCATTTTCTGATTAATTCTGGACCCGAAGTGAAAATTTTGCTCATCACAGTGTTCTGGGTAACCAATACCAATCAATTGGAGTTGGCAAGAAGTGATACTGGTTTGCCATCCCACTAAGCTTCATGCAGAATGTACACTGACTTACCTTATGCTATGCTTGATTTCTCCTCTTGGTGCTGAGCTGTCCATCTGTTCTGAAGGCTGCCCTTCTGTTTGGTTATCTGCCCTTAAAGCAATTTCTCATCCAACACCTGACAGTGTGGGGTTAGAGCCAGAGACAAGGGTATATACTGGTTGCACTAGGCCTTACTACTAGGTACCTGCTGGGTCTAGCCATATGGACATTACAGGAGAACGTACTACAACTCAAAGAAGATAAGACACTAGGTAGTTGCTTAAAATATGACGTTCCTTTTGGCTTTTCCTTAATAAATAAGGAGAATAGCTAACGAGCATCTTCTTAAGGGTTTTTAGGTACCAAAAGACTTCTATTAAGGTGCTCCTTGGTTAAATCTCTCAAAGCTATAACAAGATTATCTACCTTTCCCATGAGTTTCCAACTCTTCAATTTTTCACTCTTATCTCAACTCTTCACAAGTTCTATACATTCCTTCTAAGTTGTACAGTTCAGAACTGAACAAGTCCTCTAGTAAATAACACATTAGTATAAGAGCACTAGGAAGAAATTCTATTTTTTTATTTTATATAAGCTTTTTATTGAAGTATAACATACATGAAATGGGATTGTGAGTTTTCCCAGAGTGAATACACTTGTCTAATTGGTACCTAGATCAAGAAACAGAACATGAACAGAACTCCAGAACCCTCCTTTCTCCCTTTCAGTCACTATACTCTACCCCCCGAAAACACTATATTTCTGAATATAAATGTGTCATTTTGATTTTAAAAATATAATAATACAGTTGGTTCTTTTGTGTTTGCCTTCCTTAACTCAATGTTATGCTTGTGAAATTTACTCAGATGATTGCATGTAGCTGCACTTCAGTAATTTTCTTGCTATAGAGCATTCAACTATATGAATGTACCATACACACACACAAAATCCATACCAGTGTTGATGGACATGTGAATACTTTCTAGTTTGGGGCCAATTACAAATATTTCTCCATGTCTTTTGGTGTGCATAAAGTAATCAATTTTTGATGAGTATTCACCTGGGAGTGAAATTGATGGATCATATGGTATGTTTATGCTCAGTTCCAGCAGTTACATTTTTAGAAAGATTGTTTTGCTACCCTAATGCTATTCTTGCATAAAAGATTGTCATTGTATTACTCTGAAGCTATTCTCTACCAGAAAACAGCTTTTAATGGGCATAGACACTTGAATCGCTATCCGGCATGAAAAAAAGGACATAACAACTGAAAAAGGGCTCACTTGTTGTTAGACAGGAAGCTGTACTAGTAGCAAGTCTGAGCTGCTATTCCTTGTTTCCCAAATATGTAAGATAAGAGGTTCCTGCCACTAAATGGAGGACAAAGACAACAGTAAGAATTAAACAGAGAGACACTGTCAGCAAAGGCCCTGGAAATTATATAAACTCAGAAGCTGTAGAAGTCAGACTGGACAGATGTAATGGTCAGATTGTTACTGGTGTTGAAGTCAGATGGTTAAATGTACACAACTGGCAGCTTGGTGGTTGTCACTAGTGAGACATGTAAGAACAAAAAGGGAGCTGTCAAGGTCAAGTCAGTGACCTTTGGCAGTGGCTCATGCTGGCATTCCTCAGAGGCCCATAGGTGGAAGCCTATTGCTTCGAAGCCCTAGGTCCAGCAGGATCATGCCAAAGTACATGTAAGATTGGGCTCAAGTAACAAAATCACAAAACTTCTTCCTGCATGAACCCATCTCCATGACCTCTAATCCTTCCTTACCAACGCCTCGGCTCTCTCCTTTCGGCCTCCCATGTGCATTCGTTTCATTTCCAGATGTGCTGCTTGCTTTATCATCTCCTTTAGTGGCTGATGAGCTACTTTACATTTGATTATTTCTATCTTGGCCTCCCCGCCGCACAATAATAATAAATTCCTCTCTCCATTTAATAAACATTGATTGAGGCCCTACTATGTACCAGGAAATGGGTAGATACTAAGTAACTCTGACTTCTTGGAGCTTAGACACAGCTGTTTGAGGGAAAAGGGCAGGGTGCAAACCACCGTCAACCTGTCATTGGGAGCGGGAGACCATCAGATGGAAAACGGGTCCTCAGTGGCTGAGTCTCTGGCTCCACAGCTCTGGGTTCTGGAAGTTGAGTTCCAGACCCCTGATGTCCAGTGTACTCTCTCTCTCACACACAAGTGACACTGACAGTGTAACAGACAAGTAGAACAACAAGAATGAAGATGGCACAATACACACCAGTTCTTTATTTTATATTTAAACCCAACAGCTTCCCTCCAAAAGTAAGGGTATTCTTCAAGACAGTTCTGATTTGTTGAATTAAGTGGCCTCAGGTATGGTAATGTTTTTAAATATATATATTCAAACGGTAACTAAAAAAACAAAGCTAAACAGCATTAGCTTTCCCCCATCCAAAGTCCAGGAGCTTTCATTGTGTAGTCAAAACAGCCTTCAATTTAATTCGCCATTTGTATGGCTTGAGCCTAAGCTTCTGCCTCATTTCTGTTGGGCTCAGATACCATACAAATGATTGGAGAGCTCGCGTGGGAAGATCGGGAGACCGTTAGGCGATGGGACCTCCTCCGAGGGGCGCGACTAGCGACCCCAGACCACCCGGTACGGCAGGGGCGAGGGCGCGGTCAGCG